CTCTCTCTCTCTCTCTCTCTCTCTCTCTCTCTCTCTCTCTCTCTCTCTCTGGTACGTACAGCAGCTATTTATAGATCTGCTGCGCTGCTTGTGGCCTCTTGGACCGGTCCCATGCAGCTGTGTGGGTGAGCCTGTACCATCCAGAATCTTCTTTGGGAAGCTGTGTGGGTGAGCCTGTACATCATGAATCTTCCTGTTCTCCTCTTCCTCCTCTCGTCCTCTTCTTCCTCTTCTTCCTCCTCTTCATCCTCATCATCCTCACGCACTGCGCACATGTATGCAACATGGGATTCCATTTCTGAAAAGAAAAAAGGGCAAAGAACAGACACTCATTCATCACTCTTTCGAAGAGATGCATACCTGCATGGAGAGGATGTCAGACATGGTGGTTGGGTTCACCATCTCCTTCTTCATCTTCATCTTCTTCTCCTTCTCCTTCTTCATCTTCTTCTCCTTCTTCTCCTTCATCTTTGAATCCACACCCCTCCTCGCACCGTCAAGCCCACCCTTAGTGCCAACCATCCGCTGCTTCTGCTGCTGCTGCTGCTTCTGCTTCTGCTTCTGCTTCTGCTGCTGCTGCTCGTTCCCAAGACAAAGAGCCTTGATATGGTCACCAAAAGGGCGACGTCCTTAATATGCTCATCAAACCAAACGGCTGCATGCACCCTATTCCTCTTCTTCGTCCTCTTCAACTTGGGAGTTCCACGCTTCTCCCAAGTGCGGCGGCGGTGGCGTGTTGATCTCTATCCTTTGATGCGCTTGGTTCTCATCACCAACCAGTCCCTTCAGCACCGGCAGCACAGACGCCGACCTTACTCCGTCTGCGCGGACCGGGTTCTTTTCACTCCTGCACAATCCCGCTGCTCGACAGCATTTTCACACTCCTCAGGCCGTGATCTCGTCCTTTCGTCCTTGCTGCTATCGGACCTGCGCAACCAAAAAATGACGAGCAGCAGCGGCAGTCCGCGGAGAAGGGAGGTGGAAACGGAACAGAACGAGTAGAAACGGAACAGCGGAAACGGAACGGAACCGAAACGGAACTGAACGGAAAGGAATGAAACGGAAAAGGAACGGAATAGATTCGGGGTCTACATAAGTATCCATCTACAGATCCCATTCTCTCTCTCTCTCTCTCTCTCTCTCTCTCTCTCTCTCTCTCTCTCTCTCTCTCTCTCTCTCTCTC